AAGTTTTGTCCATGAGTGCAATAACAAACAAGAAGTGTGCATACTGCATAGTGATTGGCTGCGTCCAAATGGTGTTGGGAAGCCGACAAAGCCAACGAGAGCACAAACATAGCCACCATAATCAAAAAACATTAAGCTGCATATTCTCTGGTAATGATTAGAAACACAAACAGGAATAAATGGTTTAATGTTTTTTAGGAACACAAACAGGAATAAATGGTTTAACAATGTGTGTTTTTAGGAACACAAACAGGAATACAGTGGACCCTCGGTTTGCGAGCATAATCCGTTCCAGAGCCATGCTCGTACTCCAAAACGCTCGTAGTGCGAAACTAATTTCTTATTTTTAATAATTGAAACTCGGGCAATTCTTCTTGCTACGAACAATTGCACAGTTTCACACATTTTACATATTTCCCGAATCTGATCTGAAGGGAGGGATCCCAGTGAATTTTCATCCATCACGATTACGGGCAACCATCACGAGTTGCTCGTAATGCAAAATTTCACTCGTAATCCGAGGTAAAATTTTTCAAAAAATTTTGCTCGTACTGCGAAAAGCTCGTACTCCAAGGTGCTCGTAAACCGAGGGTCCACTGTAAATGGTTTAACAATGTGTGTTTTTAGGAACACAAACAGGAATAAATGGTTTAACAATGTGTGTTTTTAGGAACACAAAAAGAAATAAATGGTTTAACAATGTGTGTTTCTAGGAACACAAACAGGAATAAATGGTTTAACAACGTGTGTTTTTAGGAACACAAACAGGAATAAATGGTTTAACAATGTGTGTTTTTAGGAACACAAACAGGAATTAATGGTTTAACAATGTGTGTTTTTAGGAACACAAACAGGAATAAATGGTTTAACAATGTGTGTTTTTAGGAACACAAACAGGAATAAATGGTTTAACAATGTGCGTTTCTTTTGTTGAGAAAAACACAAGCACATTGTAAAACTGATTAATCCTGCTTAGTTATATCATTGGATTCTGTTTTTATAAAAGTTTCTAAATTCATATATGCAAAATAATCCTTAATCTATTAATATTAAGTGTTGTATAAATGTAAAGGGGCTTTTAATATATATAAATTCAAACTATATATGTAAATAAGTTCTTTAGAATATGTTCTTTAGAAATCCATCAATGGAATTCAATAAATGCAGGTGAGGTATTGCTGTGAAAATCAAGCCAAATGGTCTTAAATATATTTAGATTTCTTTCTTAATTATTTATACTCTAATTAGTAATTCAAAATCAATTCAAGATATGACTCACTTTAACTTATTGTAGAAAGAATCCTTTTGTTGAAATGAAATTCACCAATCAAAAAGAAAGAATTCAAAGCCAAATGCTTCTTTATAGGAGTTTAGGGAACAATCATACTTCAACACACATAACTCCAACATCTATAGAAATAATATTGGATTTAACAGTGAGCACACACACACACACTTACACAGGGTTGACAAAACCAATGTTTATCCGCCTTCTCGTTGGACATGCGGTAGCAATCACTGCAGAGTCTGATTTCTGCAATGTCGTAGAGGCAGTCCCTTAGCATCTGTCGAGCCAGGTCAGCAAGTGGATTGTGGACTGCACCAACAACACCGTGGGATTACAGGAGAGGAGGAAGAAGAGGGGAAAGTCTACCTCCGAAGTAGATGACAATGTTGTGAATGATGGTGCGGGCGTCTGCCACATACTCCTCCAGGCTCTGATACTCCTGTTCCTTCGCCTTGGCTTCCATTATGGTGAGATCCATCTTGCGGAAACAGAGGTAACTTTGCCTCCAGACATCATCCTCTTCCACCTGAATCTGTAGGAGGTTCTTCACCTGGAACATTTTTCCCCCGGTGGAGAAAGTGTTAGCTGGGGGAGTATAAAAAGATGAAGGATAGAGATAATAAAAGATATTAATGTGATGTTTCTTCTCAATTAGTTGTTCTTTAAAATAAAAGATACTCTGGCCAGAAAATGGTTCCTGACCGAAGTATCTTTTATTTTAAAGAACAAAGAATGCTGACTAGGTAACCTCTATTTTCAAGAGAGGTCTCAATTAGAAATTAGAATAACCTAGAATTACCTTGTGTAAAATTAGAATAAAGTTTGAAATTTGAGATGGATTTTTATTGAAAAATCAAGCAGGAAAGAGAACAGAAGAGAGGTATGCAGTTTAGAGGGTGGAGCATGTGCTGATAAGGAGGAGGAGCCTGCAAGGATTGGGAGGAGGAGCATGTGCTGATAGGGAGGAGCCTGTAAGGTTGGGAGGAGGAGCATGTGCTGATAGGGAGGAGCCTACAAGGATTGGGAGGAGGAGCATGTGCTGATAGGGAAGAGGAGCCTGCAAGGATTGGGAGGAGGAGCATGTGCTGATAGGGAGGAGCCTACAAGGATTGGGAGGAGGAGCATGTGCTTGTAGGGAGGAGCCTACAAGGATTTGGAGGAGGAGCATGTGCTAATAGAGAGGAGCCTGAAAGGATTGGGAGGAGGAGCATGTGCTGATAGGGAGGAGGAGCCTGCAAGGATTGGGAGGAGGAGCATGTACTGATAGGGAGGAGGAGCCTGCAAAGATTGGGAGGAGGAGCATGTGCTGATAGGGAGGAGGAGCCTGCAAGGTTGGGAGGAGGAGCATGCAGTATTTGGGAGGTGACAAACCGTACATAGTCCCGATCACGGAAGACTTGCCAGGAAATATCATTAACTTTCTTTCCTGTAATCTGGGATGTGGGGGAGGGAGGGGGGAGATAGCCAAAACACACAGTAAGGTCAGGAGATATGCATTCCATCATTGTGCACAAGCTGCATGCCAACTATTAGGGGAGGAAGGTTTTTATTGCTTTAAAGTATTTTCGGAAACAAGTACAAAGCGGTACACAATTCAAAGAGAAGCTATATAATGTTGGTACCTAGCAGAAACTGACCTATATTTGCATACATTTTTGCCCACAAAAAATTATTAAATATTAAAAATCAACATACAAATTTTATAAAGGAACCTCCAAATTATGCAATTTAATATTACTAAGGTTTCTATCTAACAGAATAAATACCAACATTGAAATATATACATACAAATAAAATTTTCACACGTTGGATTCAAAAACAAACTGCGTTTATTCCATAGATATTTCAACTATCAGGATGTTTGTCTTTTCAAAAGACGATTTTGGGAAAAAAAAAAAAAGAATATTCTGATCGTTGAAATATCTATGAAATAAGCGCAGTTTATTTTTTGATCCAAGAGATATGCAGTTTTTTATTTAAATGTTGAATCTTTTTCTAAAAATATGGCAAGCCATAAGATTCAACATTCAAAGTAAAATATATATTTCTCTCTTTAGCTACAGCGTGCACACACGCTAACAACAACATATGAGATTGGCTTTACTTGATATTGTCATTAAAGATGGTGCCATTTAAAAAAACCTCATTGAACAGCTCAAACTCATTCACTTTAACTGCCTGACCAATTCTCCTTTCTTAACTTTCTCTTTTTGTTCATGCTTTCAACTAAATTTATTTCCTTTTCTACTTCTACTAGTAATATTTTAGGATTCTTGAAGAATAATTTGTTTATATTTATAGTGTCCTATATATAGTTTTCTGTTCCAATTTTCTCAACTAGTAACAGTAGCGACTCTTCACAAGCTTCTGTGATATTTTCTCACCGGTGTTGATAACGTAAAATTTGGTTTATGAATTAGAAACACAAAGTAATAAGACCCAATACAAATAAATATCTAGTATGTGACATTTCGATACATCATTGTTATCATTCAGTACTTTTTTCTGATGTTGGTAACAACACTGTTACTGAAACGTCACAATCTATTCATTTATTTGGATTTGGTATTATTACCTTGTGTTTCTCACCGGTTTCTTACTCCAGTAATAGGGGTTATCTATATCTCACGTATTTTTCTCATTCAGTACTTTTGTCTGATATTGGTAACAACTCTGTTATTCAAACTTAACAAATTAATGAGGGGGGTCGGTGAACAGAGGGTCTAAACCGTTGGTTTTCGGCCGCTACGACCCGGGTTCGATTCCCGCATTGGGCATTTTTTATGATAAAAAAAAAAATGCTCCAATGGCCCCCGATTCTTGCAAAATTCCAACCCCACCAGCGAGTGCAAGTTACCAAATGGGGCTCTGGCACATTTGTAAGTGCAAAGTCGAACTGCTATTCACATGTGTAGACATGTGGTGCACTTACAGTAAAGGGAGTCGCCTACTTCTACCCACCATGATTATCATGGCCTGTACCCCATGCACTAGGGATAAGCAAAAAAAAAAAAAAACATAACAGATGAATTGACTTAATTGGATTTAGTCTTGTTACCTTGTGTGATCACTTTTTTTTTTAAATATATATACAAATTTCCACTCTTTATTTTTTATATAACAGAGTGAGGAATCACATCAGAGGCGGCCATTTCTTTTGGAGCTAAGTCGGCCTGCCACTGAGTAGTGCTCCCAGTCTTAATGATAAAGGCAGATGCATTCTACTTCACTCAATCATGACAGTTGTCATTCTGACTGGATTGGCTCATTTATTGATGAGCTCTACTAATCCCCAGCACATCCTAATATGATTGAGTGGAGATAAGAAAGAATCACATTATAATCACCTCTTTTATTATAACAGTAATGTGTGGGAAGTTCTAACATCATAATTATCAAGTTGTTCAAGTGTCTTAACACCATGGTTATAGAAATGGCTATAACAAAATATGAGATATTTGACTATATAAAATATAATTATTTTGATGCGTGTTATCCATTCGCTGTGATATGTTTCATTTTTAAGAGAATCTGAAAGCCCTTAATATGTCTATGCACACACATGTAATAGTATAAATTCATCATCTGAGATCAACTTAAAAATTTTTAAAAAGCTAAAAAACACTCTTACCTTATCTTTAAGGCGGTAGCAGGTGAAGGTCAGAAGGAGATTGAGATCTTCATTGTTGAGGCTGCTAGGCTCTTGGTTCTTAATGGCCTGAGCGAGCAAACATCTGTAATGTCGCGCAACATTCACCAGATATGAGACTCACAGCACACACGGGGCAGCTGAACACCTCCGCCTCCAGAAACTCTTCCTTCAGACACACCCTATGGTAGACCCGGTGACAGGTAGAGCACAGGATCACATCCCCGTTCTCATGGCATTCAAAGCAGTACCAGTCATGGCCGTCTCCTTCCTGGGCACCAGAGCAACACTCTTTTTTTTTTTTTTTTTAAATATACAGTGGTACCTCGACATACGAGCACCCCAACATACGAGTTTTTCGAGATACGAGCCGACGAGCAAGTGATTTTTTGCTTTTAGTTACGAGCGAAATTCGAGTGATTTTAAATGTTTCTTTTTGACCAGTACTTTTGTTTTATTTTTGCTTTTCCTAAAATGTTTCTTTCTTCTTCTTCATTATTATTTGTTCTATATGCAAAGCTTTGTTTTTTGAGACTTGAATAAACAAATTCAAGTTTATTATATTTTTGTGTGCTTTTAAAGTTAAAATACAAAATGTAGTAACACGCAGTCGCGCCATCACGATCAGTTAGCAGCGTGCTTCCACTGTGATAAGTTGTGCTTTGTGTTCGCGTTTTGTGTTGCGTTTACATTTACAGTTTTAGTTCATTTATTTTTATAACCATGGATCGGAAGAAAGTTTGTAAAAAGTCAAGTGCTAAGAAAAAGATGATGAGTATTGAATTAAAACAGGAAATTATAGAAAAACATGAGCAAGGTGTTCGAGTTGTTGACTTGTCGAGGCAGTATGGCCGTAGTACGTCCATGATATGTTCTGTGCTTAAACGGAAGGAGGAGCACACCCAGGAACTGACGACTGAGGAGATACAAGAGTTACAGTCACAGCAGCATACTGAGGTTATGCAAGTAATTGGTTTTGAGGAGTCAGAGGAGGAGGTTATTTCTACAAGTGAGATAAAGGAGATCTTAGGAATGTGGGAGAGAGTTTCACAGTTCGTGGAAAAAAAAACGCACAGAAAAAGTTGCAACAGGTCGTGCATCTGACCTTTTTAATGACACTTGCCTAACTCATTTCCGGAACATTCTGAGAGGGAGGAAGAAACAAACCTCCTTGGACATGTTTTTTTCTAAACAGCCTACAGGTGAAAGCGAGAAAAATGTAGCGAAAAAGGCAAAGACCAGTGAGGATATCTAATTTATTTCTTTACATTCTCTTTTTTGTTTTTGTGCAATAAATATTTTATATTTATAAATACGTTTTTATTATTTAAAACCACGTAACAAAAATAACTGGGGTGACATTTTGGAGGTTGGAACGGATTAATGGTAGTTCAATTGTTTTGTATGGAGAAATTTGCTTCGAGATACGAGTAATTCAAGATACGAGCAAGGTTGCGGAACGAATTAAACTCGTATGTCGAGGTACCACTGTATAAAGGTTTGATCATCTCTAGTAAACACTGAACAGACCTTGATAACCATGGTGGGTAAGAGGTTACATCTATAGTCTTATCTAGATAGGTATTAAAAGATCTGCATTAAAGCCACAATTTTTTTCTTCAAGGGTAAGTCCTTCTTCAAGTGTCACTTAACAACATAGAAGCACAAGGTTTGTCTGATAGCAATTGTAATGTTTCCAATTTAGAAATCAACAAAACTTTTGGGTTTGAAATTAATTTCAAAACTAAACAAATTTAACACGCAAGCATAGTCATAACTTATACAAAAGTATATAAACAAAAACATACAATTAACACAAAGCAATAACGTGCCATCTATACATATAAAATGAAAGAATTTAAAAGCACGAATGCTTCTTTTATACATAATACAAACTTCTACTGTCCTTACTGCGATGAAAAAATATATTGGGAGGGCTTGGCTCATCAGTGGTGAACCCTCCCAGCAGTGTCGCCAATTTAATCCACCAGACCGCTTCTCTGAGCTCTAATACTGTATTGGACGATTCTGCTTATATACCTAGCACTAAAGGGTGGAATCTCAGAAATGGTTTTCAAGAAGACTATGGACATAAGCTTATAGGACAGTAGAATTACATTCAAAAAACATACAATGTTGCAAGAAATCCTGCATTAACATTTTGTTTAATATGTGAATAACCTTAACATATTATTCATTGTTGCAAACATAAACTAGGTTGGTCTTGTTGAGTGGTACCTAATAAAGTGATTTTGGAACAAGAAATGTTGCAAGACTACCTAACTATAGAGAAAAATTAAAGAATAAATAAATACAAAGCATGTTACAGTAATAAAGCAAAATTTGCTGTCAATGTTCTCTTTCATTTCAATAGTACACCTATCCCCCGATTTACACGGTACTTGTTTTACACGTTTTCGCTTTTACACGGTTTTCCAAATAAGTTTTTTTTTTTTTATCGCACTATGCTAACTGCTACTGTGATTGAACACATGCGCTGTACACATCTCACGAGGAATCCCGAGCTTATGTGCTGACTTGCTGCACACGCACACTGTGTCTGTATTTCTAATTTTTATTTTTTTTTTATTTTCGATTTACACGTTTTTCTCAGGAACGTATCTACCGTGTAAATCGGGGGATAGGTGTATTTGCAAAAGTAGAAACACAACACACATCACAATCAGGATAAGAGTAATAAGTTTCTTTATAAAATTCAACCTAAGTTGGTATATTTTAAAAAATTAATTTATTGCAATTATCCCCTGATTGTGTTTACTTATGTCTAACCCCACCATGTCTGTACATGTGGGATAAGGTCAAAGAAGAGTTAAACAAGAAGAGACTCACCAGGTCAGAGTCTGGTGCGCGATAGCTCTCCTGCTCCACTCCGGCTTTCACCCCCTTGTGACCTTTGCTAGTCTTAGTGTACACACAATTGTCCTGTATGGCCAGACGGAGGGTTTCATCGAGGGTAGGGAGCTCCCCCGGGGACTTGCGTTTCATAAATGCAGCGATGCGCTCGCGGTTCGGGACCTGCCGCTGATTCCTGATGCTCACAATGGCATCCCAGAGTGGCTGGAGCCGGGCTGGGTGGGTGTAACGCCGCACTGTGCCCATGCTTGTCCTCCTTCTATCCTGGAACAAAACTAATGTGTGTCACTCCCACTTAGACACATCTGGTATCAAGAGATGTGGTAATCTCCACATTTTTTTCAAACTACAATAAAACTTCAGCTATAACATTCCCCCATATAATACTACCCTGTTTATTGCAAATATATTTTTTACTGGCCTTGTGTGTGATCCCACAAAATGCCTTTTTTGGATTTCCTGTATATAACATTGTCTTTCTGATAGTGCACTTCTGGTCATACATCATGGGATATTAATTTGATATCCTGTGTTCACTTCGAAAGGTAGCTGGGTCAAATAAACACATTTTGTGCTCAATTTTTAATTATTTTAGATCTCAAACTTATCAATTGTGGAAAAAAAAAGTTTAAAAATTTAGTGTCACTTCATTTTATTGAATGTGTAGAAATGGAGAAACTGAGACAAAAAAAAAAAAACTCTTTAGTTGATCTAAGTTTGATCACTAGGCTTATCATCTGTGATTTTATAAAAGTGGTTGCTCTGGATCCTTTTGTCTTATTTTCCAGGAATAGTGTAACAAGACCAAATAGGTAATCTATACTTGACATGTCAGAGCTACCTTAATCAGACTGAAGGTATTTAAAAGACAATACACCAAAGGTAATAAGACCAAATCCAAATAAATAAATATTGTGTGACATTTCGGTAACAGCGTTGTTACTATCTTCAGACAAAAGTACTGAAATGTATTTCAAATGTATGTCATTTCAGTACTTTTATCTGAAGATGGTAACAACGCTGTTACCGGAATGTCACACACTATTAATTTATTTGGTCTTATTACTTTGTGTTTATAATCTACAAGCCGAATGACCCGGGCAACGCCCGTGTTTTGCCCGATTGAATGTTTTGATTCAAATACTATTTGTTACAATTATAAATTGGTGCCTTAAATAAATGCATATATTAATTAATAACTATAGCCTATGTGCTTTATCTGTCTATGTACTGTTGGCTTCCGTAGGCGTCTCTTACTGGGAAAAAGAAAGAGAGGAGTCCATTTAATTATTAACTAATATATGCATTTATTTAATGAGCGACCCGCTCCAACACAATAGTTACAAAAACCAAAAAGCGAGTGGGGGGGGGCAAAGTCAAAAACAAAGTGTCTCGCATAGTGGCGGCGACATCATAGCCACATGATCGTAGCCAACCAATAGGAGAGCGCCATTCCAAAGAAAAAGCAAAGGGTGACAGAGATGACGCATGACGCTCGTAACTGTATATAGAATAATCCAAATTGTGCCTTATCAAAAGACAATACAGTATAACCTCATTAATTCAACACACAATAATTCAACACTTACGATAATTTGACCATGTTTTCATGACCACCAGGCTATCAAATAATCCCCCTAACTTTAATTTGATTGAATGATAATTCGACACTAAAAGTCAAGATTATCTAACCAACGACGCTGCAATCATCTACAAGAAACAAAAAAAGCAAATGACCTACGGCCAGCATTTCCATGCTACAATAAGGTATTTTTAGCTATGGTGTGCATGGACTAACTACTCTGCTGCCAGGCTAAATGGCGCTGTAATGCATTTTTAGTGATATTTTTAAACAACATGCTGTCGAAATGTAAATTAGGAAACTGTCAAATTATCAATTATATTGAATTACCATTGGTCAAATTAACAAGGTTATATACTGTATAATTTAACACTTACACTCATGGATAAAACTTTAGAAAGTTTCCTATTTTGATGTTGTTGGTCTTTTTTTTTTTTTTTTTGAAGGAGACAGGCAATTTTGTTCACACTTGGTTATCTAGTGCGTCTTCAATAAAGGTCACTAGGTATTAAATATCTTTTAGAGTTATTGTCTGAATCCCCAGATATACATGGGTAAAATTTTTTAAAGTTTTGTCCATGGGTGTACTTTAATTCAGCAATTTTTTCTCACTTACCAATCAGCCTATTTAACCAATTATAATTCAACATAGAAACTTTAACTGAAAATTCTGA